TATCAAAATAAAGGCTAATTTATTAATATAGTAAGTAGTCTATGTACTCGAGTATTAGTATCTGTTTTCGGTTCTCACTATTAGGATATAGCTTTGCTTATACTCGAGTATATAGATGACTAAAGACGATAGATATATTAATACTTCTTGATTAGATTGAATATCAGAATATAATCTCATTTAACACTAGTTTGAATAGTGAAAGTCTGATATAGTTTGAACGATCTTTATTGATTATTAAATATTAGATACGGCTTTAACAGTGTATAAGCTGTAAATAGAACCGCTTCATTACGTCGTCTAGCCTGAGATGGAGACAAGAATACGTACCGGTATATCGACTTAGTATAATACCCTTTACTCGAGTATATAGAACATAGAATGAAGCTCCAAAATTAACACAGGTTCCAAAATATTCTAGCTTCATATTGATTGGTCTATGAACCGGAGAAGCTTTAGTTTTAACTAAAGCTCCGTATCAAACTCCCCTATAATTTCGGTTAACTAGTCTCGATATATGTTTATATCAAATTAACATCAAATTTTTCAATCATCTATATTAGATACTGGATCCGAAATTATGCAAAGTTCAATATACTCCGGCTTTACTCGAGTATAATGAGCGGTTCATGAACTAGAGAGCTTTGATTTTAATCAAGGCGTGTTCTGTAGAGAATGGGAGATGGAAGACTGGCAGGCCCTGTGTTGAAATTGATCCTCCGAAAATTTTGAAGCTTCGAGTCTCTTAGCGAGGAGCGGAGCGGAATGACCCAAGAACGGAACACTTTCGGCACAGCCACTCCTTCTAACTTCCAAGCCAATGAGATGTCTATAGCCACCCCCATCAAATTATTTCCTCCACACCAACACATACCGACTTTGGCGACGTATCGCAACCTCAAAGACACAATTACAACAATACTCGACTTTCTTTTGACTTGCAATTCATGAAGCTGGGGAGCATACCTTACACATCATGAGTTACAGTAAGAAAGATGAAGATGGCGATATGGCCATCATGCGAGTGGATAGAACTTCTGTCTTCCAAGAAGGTCGGTGAACATTCCCATTAACAGGCCAGCTAAGCTAATATTTACAGCTCGATTGTTCAACTCATCCCCTATACAACCTCGAAGATGTCGTGTTCTCCTTACGAAGATCGCGCTTTTATTATACACCGGCGAGAAATTCCCCACGAACGAAGCCACTACCCTTTTCTTTGGTATCTCGAAGCTGTTTCAAAATAAAGATGCTAGCCTGCGGCAGATGGTTCACCTCATCATTAAGGAATTGGCGCATTCGGCGGAGGATATTATCATGGTCACAAGTACAATAATGAAGGATACTGGCGGTGGAACAGATGCAATCTACAGACCAAATGCTATTCGTGCCTTGTGCCGTATCATTGATGTGAGTGCGCTAGATTATAACGTAGGATATCATTGACACAACTAGGCCTCCACAGTTCAGAGCGTTGAAAGAGTCATGAAGACCGCAATTGTCGACAAAAATCCTTCCGTATCATCTGCCGCCTTAATATCCTCATACCACCTTTTACCCATAGCTCGCGATGCTGTTCGAAGATGGCAAAGCGAAGCACAAGAGGCTGCGACAGCTACCAAATCCTCGGGTGGATTCTCCCTTGGTTTCTCAACCTCCAGCAATCAAATGCCAGTCAACAATTCAACAATGACACAATATCACGCGATAGGACTTCTGTATCAAATGAGGATGCATGACAGAATGGCATTGGTCAAGATGGTTCAGCAATTTGGGGTCGCAGGTGCTGTAAAAAGTCCGGCTGCAACTGTCATGCTCGTCAGACTAGCAGCTCAATTGGCAGAAGAAGACCAGCAACTACGGAAACCAATGATGCAGCTCTTGGACGGCTGGCTCCGACACAAGAGCGAGATGGTTAACTTCGAGGCTGCAAAAGCCATTTGCGACATGCGAGACGTCACAGATGCTGAAGTTACTCAAGCCATTCACGTTCTGCAACTTTTCCTCACCTCACCAAGAGCTGTCACCAAATTCGCTGCGATTCGCATACTCCACAACTTCGCCTCTTTCAAGCCTCAAGCTGTCCACCCATGTAACCCAGATATTGAACTCCTTATCTCAAACTCCAATCGATCAGTTGCTACCTTTGCTATTACCACACTTTTGAAGACGGGCAACGAAGCGAGTGTGGACCGCCTGATGAAGCAAATTTCAGGCTTTATGGCAGACATCACGGACGAGTTCAAAATCACAATCGTTGAAGCCATTCGTACCCTCTGCCTCAAGTTCCCCAACAAACAGGCTGGCATGCTGGCATTCCTTAGTGGTATACTACGCGATGAGGGAGGATACGACTTCAAACGGGCCGTAGTGGAAAGCATGTTTGATTTGATCAAGTTTGTTCCTGAGTCAAAGGAAGATGCCTTGGCACATCTTTGTGAATTTATTGAGGATTGTGAATTCACCAAGCTGGCTGTTCGCATCCTACATCTTCTTGGATTGGAAGGTCCAAAAACATCTCAACCCACCAAGTACATCCGATATATCTACAATCGGGTAGTCCTTGAGAATGCAATTGTACGAGCTGCAGCAGTCACAGCGTTGGCCAAATTCGGCGTGGGACAGAAAGATCCAGAGGTCAAGCGCAGTGTTACCGTTCTTCTCACCAGATGCTTGGATGATGTTGATGATGAAGTTCGTGACCGTGCTGCATTGAATTTGAGGTTAATGTCAGAGTCTGATGAAACGGCAGATCGTTTCATCAAAAATGGTATGCTACTGTCACTCCAATATTCAACACACTATTCTAATCATGCACAGAAAATACCTTTGCTTTACCATATCTTGAGCATCAACTTGTTATGTACGTCACAGCCGAAGATAAATCAACGTTCGATAATCCTTTCGATATTGCATCAGTCCCAGTCGTCACAAAGGAGCAAGCAGACGCAGAGGAGCGAACCAAAAAGCTCACGACGGTAACCCCAACAATCAAGGCTCCAAAATCTGGACCCAGCAAGGCTTCACTATCTGGCGCCGAAGCTCTTGCTTCTGCTTCCGAAACTGCTCAAAAATATGCCCAGGAATTACTCAATATTCCAGAGTTCAAGCCATATGGTGCTGTTTTGAAGTCATCTCCTGTTGTCGAATTGACAGAATCGGAAACCGAATACGTTGTTACCGTTGTCAAGCATATCTTCAAGGAACATATTGTTCTCCAATATGAGGTCAAGAATACTTTACCAGATACCGTTCTCGAAGAAGTATCGGTGGTGGCTAGCCCAGCTGACGAAGAGGAGCTCGAGGAAGATTTCATTATTCCTACTACCAAGCTTGTAACTGATGAGCCGGGTACTATTTATGTATCTTTCAAGAAGACCAGCGGCGAATCCGCTTTCCCCTCGAGCACCTTCACGAATATCTTGAAGTTTACCACGAAAGAAATCGATCCAACAACCGGCGAGCCTGAAGAAAGCGGTTATGATGATGAGTATCAGGTTGAGGATCTTGAACTTACCGGAAGCGACTATGTTATCCCTGCTTTTGCGGGTAACTTCGATGACATCTGGGAGCAAGTGGGTGCTTCTGGCGAGGAAGCTGAAGAGACACTTCAATTAAGTGGTGTTAAGAGTATAGCAGGTATGTTTTTCTTAAATTACTTGTAACCGGAAGTCTAATGATTTTATAGATGCTACTGAACAACTCGCTAAAACACTCTCGCTACAACCCCTCGATGGCACGGATGTGCCGATTAATACAACTACCCATACTCTCAAATTATTTGGTAAAACAGTTACAGGTGGAAGAGTCGTGGCTAATATCCGGATGGCTTATTCTAGTAAATCAGGAGTCACAAGTAAGATTGTGGTTCGTGGTGAGGAAGAAGGGATTGCAGCTTTAGTTATTGGGTCTGTTGCTTAAGGGCTAGCAATTTCATGGAGTTGAACGTTCGGTGTATTTGATGATTGTTGTTTAGATAATGGGTATAAAGAAGCTGTGAAAAATGGACTGACTTCAACTCATGGAAGGTGAAGGATACAGCATGAACCATCGAGACAAAAATTTGAAAATGACATAGTTTCGATTTGCATATTTGAGTCGTTCCCCCTAACTCTTTCCGGTTGAACAGTTGTAGATCGTCTAACCCAACTTGACCCAAATCAAATCAAATCCTTGTGCGATACCGGTGCTAGGTAGCCATTTTCCATCAGAACAGCTAACCTACACATAGATTCTTTCTTATGAAGAAAATTCTTCACTTGGTTGCATATGTGATGTGTACAAAGTCACACCCACCCTTGACGGAAAAGCCACTCACTAAATCACTAAAATAGAATAAACAATCGGAAGGTCTCTTCTCGTCTTCATGATACAAGACAATATTAATAAGTAAATTGATAATGTCTACTCGAGTAATAAGCATTAAAGTTCTATTCGAATAGCTCTCTCTTTGATATAGAATCTTGAAAACAAATATTGTTCTTTGATGTATGGTTTATTTAATGATTGCCCCTATCAGAATCCCTGAAAACTCGGTACCGATATGACGTTGCATACCCACGATCTTGGCACGTTTTTATAGAATTTACATTTCTTGATTTGAGGTGCCTCATGTTCTTGTAGACAAAGAACATTATCCACAATCCTCAATTCAACCTCATGAACTTTGTTTCTTTTCAAAGTTCTCTCTAATCAACTCAAGGTCTCGTCACAATGGTGTACGTACGACAAGAAAAACTTCCGGGCCTGAAGCAATACAAATATTCGGGTGTCGACCATTCCCTCTTATCTCGATATGTTCTCAAGCCATTCTACACAAACTTCGTGATAGAATGTTTCCCGATGAGTATGGCGCCGAATCTGATTACCCTTACGGGTTTCAGCTTTGTCATTATCAATATCCTGACTTTGTTGTGGTATAATCCGACGCTTGATGTGGATTGTCCACCTTGGGTATATGCCAGTTGGGCTATAGGATTGTTCTTGTATCAGACCTTCGACGCGGTCGATGGGACACAGGCGTATGTCTAAATTGCTATTGAGTTGATCTAGAAGGGCAACAGCTGACAAGATGGCAATACAGGAGACGAACACACCAGAGTGGGCCGCTTGGAGAGCTCTTCGATCATGGTGTTGATGCGCTGAATACTTCTCTTGAGTGTTTGATTTTCGCGGCTTCGCAGAATTTCGGAATGGGCTGGAAGACAGTCATGGTCTTATTTGCTTGTGCGAGCTCAATCCCCAGCTCTTTACCGGGGTCATGCTAATGTTTAACAGCTCTGCTCACATTCTACGTACAAACCTGGGACGAATACCACACAAAGACGTTAACGCTGGGCTTGATTTCTGGACCTGTGGAAGGAATCGTCATTCTCATCACTGTCTACGCGTTCACTGCGATTAAAGGAGGGGCAAGCTTCTGGACCCAGTCGATGTTCAGAACTGTTGGCATTCCCCATTTCGAATTTATTCCTGATTTCATTTACGAGTTGCCATTCAACGAGTGGTATATGGTTCAAGGTGGATTTGTGCTGGTTCTCAACACTGTTCAAAGGTAGATCTACTCCTCTTAAATTCTTCTTGAAATGTCTCACAACTAACGACCCCTCCAGCTCCATAAATGTGATCCAAGCTCGCAGAGCTCGTGGAGACAAATCTCGAGGCGCGCTCTTGGGTCTCCTTCCATTCTTTTTTACGTGGACGCTCATCCCAGCCTATCTTTACCTCAACCCCGAAATCCTATACAACCATCTCGTCCCTTTCGTCTTCTTCGCCGGTCTCATCAATGCTTACTCGGTGGGCCAGATGATCACTGCCCATTTAGTCCAGTTGCCATTCCCTTACACGAATATATTGAACCTACCTCTTGCTTATGGTGTCCTTGATTCTGCTGGGCCATTCTTAACGGAGACATTTGGATTTGGATGGCCCAGTGCCCTAGGTGGTGGTGTATACCAGGTTGCATATCTCTTCTGCATGCTAGGTATTGCGGTGGGCGTTTATGGAAGCTTCGTGGTGAGTATCTGTTCTCTCTTTCTCTCATTATATGCTAATGGTGTTAGGTTGATGTGATCGTAACAATCTGTGACTATTTAGACATCTGGTGCTTGACTATCAAACACCCATGGAACGAAGAAGAAGAGGCGAAGAAAGCGAATTAGAATACCCTTTTACGACGAACATAATGCGAACATGATGGTATGAGGTTTTGGCTTAGGTCAGGGGTCTTGGGGCTTCGGGCTTGGGCATTTGGGCCGGACGGATTGGCATTTGTATAAGTACAATATCTGGTCAGTATTTATATGATATTTGTAGCGTGAAAGTAAGCAGACTAAATCTTTTCCTTGTAACTCGTTTTCCTATCAAGCTCTACTATCCAAGATACAGCCTACTCTTTCTCGAATGGATGCAACCTAGTGACTTTCACTAAACCTACTTATTACAATTGCCAAACTTGTCAATTTAGAGACAAACATTTCCCGAATGATGCATGTACAGCAATGACAGTGTCCGAACCAGATTCTTGCTATGATCAATGACAGGCAAGGCTCATTCCCAGGAGGTTTATTCGATCACAATGATCCTTAGTTTCTCTCTGCATGTGAATCATTTTCTCCGTGAGATCGCCACCTCTTCAACATCAAATCGCTTGCTCGTAATCAACGGAAGAAAGGATTGAAGGTTGGAAATTTACGTCTCGCCCTTCAACAAGCCGATAAGGACGACCTTCAAACATGTGCTTTGTATTTACAGTTCGGGCAACCGGAATTGGTATTCTGCTTCCAGCATATTGTCCTGTTTCGCTGCAATTGATGCTGGCGAGGCTGGAAGATCTCGGTCCAAGTGAAGCCGAGAACCTGGTTACAAGGTTGCAGTTATGATAAACACCCTGGTTGACTATTTGATCTGGTTTCGATCTTCAAAAATCAATTTTCCTTCTTTCTTTCTACATTCCTAAACTGGTGTTGACATTTCTCCGAGGGGCACGGATCGGGTTCATGAAGTTTAACTTGGACCTGCAGCCCCCTGTGTGCTTCGCAATTGACAACCCATACGGTAATACCCCGCACAATCCAATTTGAAGGTTGAGAAATGGCTGAGGTGTAGAGTTACATGTGCAAGTGTTCATGTCTATATAAGAGTGTATAATATCTTCAAAGTTCGGAATCCATTCATCAAGAGTTCCTTCTTCAAGTTTGAGGTAGCTCTTCACCACCATGAGATCTCTTCATCGTTTCGCAATTTTGGCCGCCTCGTTTTTTCAAATTGGCATCAATGGATATTCATCACATCATGTCCCTCGAACTATTTGTACTGTTCAACCGAGTCTGAATGGGACGGATGATGCCCCCGCCATTATATCTGCATTCGACACGTGCGGCAAAGATGGAAATGTGGTATTTTTGAACCACACGTATACCATCAACAGTGTCATGAACACTACAGGTCTCTCAAACTGCAACATTGATATTTATGGGACACTCCTCGTACCTCCCCAATAGATCTCATACTTCCATCTCATCAGCTAATTTATCAAATAAAGTGGTCCACGAATATCACATACTGGCTGAACCACTCCATGGCCTTTGGCTACCAGAACCAAACCTCAGCATGGTGGCTCGGTGGCGATAATATTAATGTGAACGGATATGGATATGGAACTCTAGATGGTAATGGACAGGCTTGGTATGATTTCGTCAAGGGGATTTCGAATTATCCAAACAGACCTCATGCCCTTACGATATGGAGTACGACGAATTCCGTCTTTCGGGGGTTGAGATTTGTGCAGAGTCAGATGTGGTATGTGTTTTCTATAAACTACTTATTCATATTGAAGTATGGGGGTATAACAAATGAGAAATAGGACCATGACAATCTTCAAATCGGCCACCGTTCTTCTGCAAGATATCTACGTAAACAGTAGTTCCTCCTCCGGCTCCCCTGCACGCAATACCGATGGCGCAGACACTATCTACAGCGACGACATCCACTTTGATCGCTGGACGGTGGTCAATGGCGATGATAGTATATCCATGAAAGCAAATAGCACCAACATCTTGGTTACTAATTCTACTTTTTACAATGGATTGGGGGTGGCGATAGGCAGTATTGGACAGTACAAGGGGGTATATGAGACGGCGACGGGTATTGTGTTTTACAAGACGTTGCATGGAGACTATGTGAAGACATGGACGGGGGAACAGGTGGGGTATCCGCCGAATGGAGGGGGTGGAGGATTGGGGCGTGAGTATTTCTTTCCGGCTTCTGTTGAGGATCCGGAATTTTGTTAACAAAGATATAGTTGCCAGAAACATCACGTTTGAAAACTTCTCCTTCCATTCCTTGAGGGGACCACCATTTTCTATCACACAATGCACGACATTCTCTGGTGTTGTAGGGAATTGTTCTTCCTCAGCATGTGAGTCATCTTCCACGGCCCCCTTCCAATTTCCCATTTTTCATTTCCCATTTCCCATCAACTAAAGCCCCACACCACAGTCCAACTAAGCGACATCAACATATACAACATATCCGGCAGCATGACCAACCCCATAACCAGCTACCAATGCAGCCGCGTGGCCCCCTGTCAAAACATCACCATGCAAAATATCAACGTCAAAGATGCGAATGGGACGGCGGGGGCCGGGTATAAGTGTACGAATGTGGATGGGACCACAGGGTTTACTTGTACGGGTGTTGCTTGAGATATCTTGGGCGCGGGTGGGAAAAGCCCATCGGTTTGGGGGTTGAGAAATATATAATTCTGTGTATGCAGAGGAGAGAATTTGAAGGGATGTTTCTCGAGATTAGGTAACGAAACTTAAACCAATGGCCTGATAATATCTGCAAGGACTTTTTACTACATCTTCATAACATCATAACCTTTTGAAAGTTTCTTTTTGGTCGGGGCAAACTATTCTACTGCAATGGATACATACCCCTTTAGTCATGCAGATACTCAAGATTGAAGTCAACACGTGGACAATACGAGGACCAAATTGAGAAGGATCCTAGCTGGCTCACTAAAGGCGTCACTGCCAATCTCGATACTCTTTTAGCTGCTTTTGGGGAGTGTGGTCCAAAGAGGCATCGTGGTGGACTTGAAAATCAATGTAAGCGTGTACGATTAGGTGATTTCTAGGAAGACACTTTTAGCGAGCCGCATATGGGTAAGCGATCTGTCTATGCTAACATGTGATGTGGGTGTACATTTGGCGCAGAAAATGGATCTAGATATCACCGCGGGTATTGCTGATCTTGCGGGTATAATCAGTAGGAATGAAAGAGCAAAGCTGATGCGATTTGAGCGTTGAGTTTTGATGTATAGTTATCGTTGCTCGGTATGAGTATAAGAAGATAGTATGCAATGGCTGAGGAATCTTCGTGGGATTGGGCTGATTGCCTGGAGAGGGGAGTGGAGCTTGATGGAGATAAGTGAGGCTCACGCGACTGCATGATATCAAACTAATTTCTACATAAACATCACATCATGAGAACTGAGTGAGGCGCATAATCGAATTAGTGCTGATTGACTGCCCATGCTTGGTGCAGAAAAACCAACCAATGTAGCTTACACACTTCGGATGAGACTCAGTCAATGCTCGGTTTGTATTCAGTACGTCAAAGTAAAATCATATGAACATTTTTTTAAGTCTTCAAATGCGAATGACCACGAAATATCAAGCGTGAGAAGGCTTTGAGACCGAAAGATATATTGCGTTCACTAAAACGCTCTGATTATTCCATAGACTCAATGTGATAATTGTGTGTAATTATAATACCATCAAAATACTCCAGAGCAGATAGCACCAAGGAACTCCTTGATGTATTTCATTCATCTTGAGCAGTATCCATCCATAATGTCCCATATATTCAATGACATCCTTAACACCGTTGATATTTTTCCATGTCACCCCATAAATCATAGCAACTCATCATTTCCACTTGCGACGCTCTTCTCGATCGCATCCAGTATGGCTCTCTCTTCAAAAACCGGCCCTTGCCCATCGCATTTCGCAACTCTCTTCAGCCTTTCACTAACATCTCCTATATCCACCAGCCCTCGCTTGTACAGTGGATGTTCGATAATATAGTCCCACGTTGCACCCGCTGCAAATAGCCTTTCTCCTCCATCACTCGTTACTATCCTGTGACTCGGCACCTTATTATCATGCGCATACAGAACCTCTGTATAGAAATCTGTAGGCTTGTATTTCATAGGACCTGTAATCGACAGAGGCTCCGAGCCTCCACGATTTGAATGCCCCGACGTTGCTTTCAAGATTTCGTTTTGCGTCGCAGCTTTTGTGAGTTGCAGTTTTAACCGCTCGTTTTCTAGAGCTAGGTTATTAGTGTTTGTCTCGAGTGATGCGAGCTTGACTTCGAGATCTTTGACATGCCGTTCCTTGCGTTCGCGGAAGGCTCGTTGACTGATTTTTTAGGCTTTTTAGCATTGTCCGGAATGAAGCTTCAAGACGGGTGAGCTCAAAGGAAGGTCTTACGCTGCACGGTTCTGGGCCTTGCGCCTGGATTGCGCCGGGGTCAGATTATCCTCATCATCACTATTGCGCATCGAATCGTCATTTATATCGGCGGGCATATCGGTATACATGGGGTGAACAGCCGATGGCTTGTGCTGGGAGAGCGGGGTTGTAACTTTTGGGATGCGTGGATCGTATTGACTTGCATAATCATAAGGCTGAAACTGCTCAAAGACATCCTGTTGTTTGAAGTTAGTAGGCGCATTCTGCCGAAAAAAGATGGTATAATCACCGGTGGAGAATTGCTGAACTCATCGGTGTTTGATGCGTTTGTGTGGGTTGGGGTAGGAGGGAGAAGAGGGAAGAATGACTGAGGATTCGGAGTGTAATATGAATAATCCATCTTGAAGGTTGCAGGCGATTCGATGCGTCGGGAGAATCTAGAGAATTTTTGAGTGAAAGACTATTGGGAAATGTTTGATATCTTGAGTACGATATCTCTCTTCGAATAATATATACGAGTGTATAGAAAATAATTTGGGATAACCGTTGTGATAGATTAAGATAGCTTGTCGAGGCTTGAAGAAGCATTTGCGAATAAGGTTAGGTTAGGTAACACGCTAACAAGGGCCCCGGGATTTGATATATAACGCCATCCATGCATTATAAAAACCATCTGAACATTCTAAACAATATGTACAAGTAGGCCTTTTAAGTGTGCATTTCAATAAAGTGTCTACTCGGCCAATAATTTACAGTAGATAGACGCAATCGGGGGTTTAATTGACGTTACTAAATGTAGACATCTGACAAGACAATTATAGCAGAAGCGGGATGTCGAGGTCATTGGAAACTATTTTGCCTTATGAGAGCCTCCTGTTTGCATGTACAGCTTTCGTATCATAAACACTCCCATCTCTCGTCTGTCTATTAATTAACCTCTCAACGTTCTTTTGGGGTTTTGTTTCAACCTCGAGAATCGTTCGGCCTGATGAAGTAGTTAGACACAAAGGAACAACAAGTCTCCGTATATACCCTTATCCATCTCTATTGTTCTTGCAAAGTTGTAATGATGATATTCAGACCGAATTGCTGGAATATACACCTCATATTCCTATTTTGGTTCAATTGGAACAGTCCATCCTCCAGCTTGTCATGCCATATCGGTCGCTTCTTTTGAGCTCTGTGTCATAGAACACTTGCAGAGTCAACCCAACCAGTAATATTTAGCATATTCGATTGTGGTTTCGTATAAGTCAACCGCCTCGTGTGATCTAGATTTCGAGCCGGAGCTCTACAGCCAGTTATAGTCCGGAACTTACTGTACATCCATATACCCTTGAATTCTCTCACTCCCTTCAACCCATACATTCGAACTGTGCCGGCTGCAGTGCACAGGTCAGCTTATTCTCATGTTTCATAGTGAAAAGCCAAGATACATGATTGTATCGATGATCTAATGAACAGACTCCCAATAGGTAAAATACGTAGAATTGGAAAAACTTCTTGTAGATAAACGTGTATGAGCCCCAATTGATCCAAGGAAAACGGATTCTCTGCATTTGATCCTCGGTTAAATGTGTGTAACAATTAGCGAAACCAGGATGTACAAGAAGCTTTCATACGATTGATGGTAAAAATAAACATACTTTGGTTATTCTTAAGGACTCGAAGAAGTATGGTACGGATACGAGTGCATTGCGATCGGCACTTGAAGAACGACCGTGTGTTTCGGGAAAAACGTCGGCTTCAGATGAATCGCTCCCCATCTACTAGCTAGACTATAAAATTTCAAGCTCTACTATTCAATTTTCAAGAAGCTCAGTATAACTCTGTTAGAGCTTGAGCTTCCGATATATAACCATTTGTAATTATAATGTCAGATTTTGCAGTAAGATTGAGTAAAATGTGGCCATGGAAGAAAATTCGCTGACCATTGTGATTAGAGGATACTGCCACAGATAAGAAACGTGTTGGGGGTCACGGTATTCACGTTGCACGGCCACGTCCCAAATATGTCCTGAACGGGTCGCTTCAACTGGCGGCATTAAAAGAACATAAGTAAACAGGGACTTCTGTCTCAGTAGGTTCCACTACGACTCTACGAGGCAGGTTATAAAATAATGACCGAACCTACATTGAGGCCGAGGGCAAAAATGATAAGGGTTAGCGAGTGGCGATGCAGCACAAATATTGCTTTGCTCTCCATGACTTCTTTTATCCAACCACTTCCATCAATGTATCCTCCCACCGATATCGCAAATAATTCAGAAGTCCAACATTGTTGGCGAAGAACTAAGCTCTTTCCCTATACATTCTTGGAAATCTTGCCCGTCCAGTTGTCGCTAGATTAATCTGACAAAGGTTTGGCCGTTGACCAGTACATCAGATTGGCAAAGTTATGTTTTCTAAAGGAATATCTTGAAGTGCTTGACACACGAACGGCAAGTTACTTGGCCTCGAACGGAGCTTCGTCCAACAGGCCTAGAGGTGGTCGCAGATATGGCTGTACCAACGAGCATTAGTATGAGCCTGGTCTGGTCGAAGATACCAAGCGTCACCCCGAAACTGGACCCCTAAATTTGGCCCAATTATAAGTGGCCATCGATCGATCACATTCGTGACGCTTCTTCTCTTTATGCGTGAAACTTTTCCCAAGGCAATATTCTCCAGAGAAAGGGTTTAATTTGAATTTAGATATATTTCTCGAAATATATCATATACAGCCGGTTATCTATTCCTGATCAAAACGGTCATGCGATGCCTATATTTTTGGAATGTTACTGGAGTGAAAGATCATAGAGTGCACGTGGTGAGATTCGGCAATCGACATATCAATGACTCCCTGCTGCTATTGCCTCCTGCATTTTATCCCTTTTTTCCTCAACTGTACATTTTTCGAGCTCTAAATAAGTTTGGTTTGAAGCTTCTGGGGAGTTCTAGAGAAAATGAATCGATGTTTCTGAAGTTTGGAAATTGGAATTGATGACTTCCGAGATAATAAAGGGGGAGGATAGCGGCTTTCGTTACATTCTGGGGGGTTGTCTACAATATAGGCAGTAGTGCGAACCAGTTATTAAATTGGCAGTTTGGAGGGGTGTAGTTTATCTGACAGTTAAATCATGCATATGAACAACGGAAAATACGGGATCGACAAACATCATACAATCTATGCTTTTCTGAAAGTTCCTGGTGACTTTTGACAAGGTCATTTGGTTGTAGAAGATTAAATAGACATGCTGAAAGCTCATTCATCAGAGTGAGGGATGCAATCTTCTACGGGAAGCCTAAGGAAGGTTCTCTATAACAGGATAGTGAATTCAATTGGAGGGTCAGGTCCGCCACAATTTGGAGATTGGTTGTTTTAGTTTTGGCTTTTTGAATTCAATACTATCAAATTAAATAATGCAAACCTTTGTGACTTTCACATGTACTCTGATTAGAAAGCTAATGACTGGGTCAGATTGAAATTACTCTTCTTAAGCCTGATGCCTACTCACAACTCGATTCATCATCCATACTATTTATTACTGGTACCATCAATAGACCTATTTTTGACTAACTTTTGCTCAATGCAACATTGGCATATATCTTCAGACATTAGTATTGACATATGATGTCATCTGAATAGTGAACCTATATGAGTATTACAAGGCTCGACTGTTCTCATCAGACTTTTAGTTCAACACACCCAAAAATTAAGTTCCACATTCAAAATGAGTAGACATATATCAAGACCTCTGAATTTCAATTCCACAACACTACGAAATTCATGAGCTCAATGTCTCAAGATAAATTCCCAAATTTCCCTCATTATAGTCGACATGGTTACAAAACTTCGAAGTGTGGTCATCATGATATTCAAGACCCACAGACCATGCAATCAACAACCACTTCTTATCCAACATGACCACTCCCGTAATGATACCTTCATCTCCATTTCAATTTCCCAAAAATGATGTTCCTAGCTTCTGCAGATAGTCAGTTAAGTTAGTTGCGATTCCAGAGGCTACAAGAAGATAGTGAAGGTCATTAAGCATGAGTTTAGGACTACCTGCAATGAGCTGCGTGAGAGGATTAAATAGAAGAAAGAAGTCTTCCTTCGTCTGCTGTTACTTCGTCATTTGCAGAGCTTGCAAGAACAAAACCAGGGTTCGAATCTTCGGAATCTAGGTTTATGGTATCCAAGTTCTTTCAACCTTCCCAGTTTGAATTGTGTAGGCATTTACATCCCTCCACTCAGAACTGGCGCCATACCGTATAATGGGGACGAGGATAAGCAATGTAGAGTCAATCATCCTCATGTATCGTCGACCAGAATTCTTGAATACAAACTCAAGTGCATTACTTGCTTTATTTCTGTCGTTCTGTGTATGGGATAATCCAAAGCCAACACCACCTCAAAACATAAGCCCCATGTCCCCGGTCCCCGATTATGAACCATCGACGAATCGAATCTGGAGATCACATACAGTAAGATGTATGGATATCGGCCAGTCTGTATGCCAGCGATGAGGCTAGAAGTGATAAGCGGAAGTAAAGCAAGACGTAGCGTTCGATGCAGCCATGATAGTGTCTTGTTTATCAACAGCAATGAGGAGTTGCGACATCATCCTGATATAGACTAAACTCTGGCCCGGTGTAGTGTATCAGCAAGATGATGCCAGATCAGGGAAGGTATGCCCGTTGAACTATTGCGATCCGCAGGTCGCAGAAAATGAGGTGGCTGGCTATGTTGTGGAAGAAGTTTGATCGCTTTGAGTTTTGATACTTGGTGACTGGATGAATGTTGGAGATATTTCATTGTTTTCGGTTTGGAAAAGGAGGATATTCGTGGTTATAAATCTTGTGCCGTAGACTGTGATACTGTGCAGAAGCGTTGTTGGCTTACCCAATCAGGTGAAGGTAGAATGATATCAGGAAATCACCAGAGGATATGCAAGCTGTTTCGTCAGATACACTTTGGATTCGAGAATGAGAAACTTGCCCGTGATTTGTTGATTATTGATATAATGAGAGATAAGGAGTGTCACAATACCAGAATATGCTTATACATAGGAGAAGTATTCATAGCTCAAGTGACGGTATTGAAATTGTTGGCAGTCGTTGAGTTACTCTTTCCATTCTGAGGTAAAATCTACCGTGGTCTGTATGAACTCACTCCACACAGACCTCGCATGGCCTTACAAATTTGCATGATATTGCGTGCTTATAAAGCTTTTAGTTGTGATGGAAAACTCGGGTGATACACATGAGGATCAGAGGCCGAAGTGTACTCCTGTAACCTAGAGAATTCATGCATGCTGCATACTGCTTCTTTGTTGTAGTTTTTGAAAAGATGTAGTTTGACAGCTCCATTTTATTGTAATTTAAGTAATTGGGGACTAGGCCTTTGTACAGCCAAAATGCTATGGATGGGATTTTGATCTGTGGGTACCCAGCTCAGGAAACTATTACTGTTTCAAACTGTCTTTGAGTTGCTATCACCATGGAAACGCTCATCTATGACATAGTCGTTAACTTATCCGAAATTCACTCCAATCGGATGGTACAGCAGTTGTAACTTCCCTGCCCAACCTTTTACTAATACTAGACTATAAGATTTCTAAGTTCTCGAACCGAGACCTCCTTTCCATGACTTCCTCAACAACTTCTACCACATAAACAATCTTTTGGATAATTATCCTTCCATCAATTATTCTTTGAACCACATAATCTTGACACCAGTCTTTTTTATTACTGTTTTATCAAATCATCGTGGATCAAGATGTCTTCTTCCATCACTCCTGCTCGTAAAGACACTGTCATCAATCCCATTGTTGATGAAAATAGTGTAACGGCAATCAATATGAGAAACCGCGCTATCTTGTATGCTAGCAACAACCCCGATATTACTTTCAATCCTGCTGCTTTGAACATGATCAACAATATGGTATGCTCTCTCCCTTCCGCCTTTAGATCGATGGTTTTGAATCTTTCTGTGGCTTTGAGTCTCCATTTGGTTACTTTTGCGCAAGAACAGAAGGAATGACTCTCTGTCACGCGATGCCTTGGAGTTTTTTTTTTACAAAACAATATCTAATTGCAATTAATCAACAGCCCAACGACGAAGCTTCTGAATCCAGGTTTTTTGCTAGCGCTTCTGAGAGAAGATCCAGCACAATTGCTCTCCTCGGTAGCGCAGCTGAAATCCTCACAACTTATCCATCCACAGGAAGCACGAATGACCAAGAAGACAACGCCAATGCAAAACCAGCAACCCCTTCTTTCTTCCGCTGTTGTCAGGTGAGTTAATCCCACCACTTCTACATATTTCCTCTCAATCTACCTTAGTTCCTGCCACGACTCTCCCAGACTAACATAAACCCGCTATCCAGTGCCAGAAAGCATCGAGCTCTCCAAAGTGCCAAAGACAGGACGAGAAAATTGGCGTCATCCAAGCCAAAGATCAAAAAGTCCTCGTCGTCAATGGTGGATGCGGACATTCCAAATGTTCCAGATGTATCAATGTGGATGAGAAGGGTGTGCGCATTGGGATTAAGCCATGGGAGTTAGAGTGGACAGGTCCTTCCATTTCAGGACAAGCATAGGAAGTGATTTGGGAAGGTGCTAGGGATGATGGGGGGCTGGGATTCAAACCAATGTTAACAAATGGGTTGGATGGGGCTTTACAGGATGGCTACAACTTGTGTAGCAAATATGGCGAATAAATCAGTGGGCGGACAATAGCTTGCGAATGCACCGATTTGAATAACTTTCACCTTGTGAAGTTGCGAACACTAAAGGCAAATACTAAGAGCGTCTAACAATCTGGACTGCATTCAATATTTGACATCTTTCAATAACATGTATTCAATATTCGAAATGGATTCAGTGGTCCGAACGGATTCGATGTTCCAAAGGGAATTCACTAGATCAACTGGATTCAATTCCAATAATGCCAACATGGGAACAAATTCGCGCCCCAAGCAAACTTCTTTGGGCCTAACTAACATATTACCTTATATAAAGTAAAGCTTTAGTTAGGTCCAAAATGTGTAAGGTAATACAATTGAGATTTTGAACCTTCAATTCCAGGCAAATATATATTTTGATATAAAGAGGGGTGCAGATATGTAATCAAACTTGAATTTGAGATTATTTTTATTATTATGAAATAATCTCAAAACAATTACGTTTAATTCAGATATTAAATTAAACTCAATTGTTTTGAGATTATCTTAATACTATCAAGATTTTATTTAAAAAAATATATATATAATTATTTCAAAGTCCTTAAGTTAAACTCAAAATGAAAGAAAATTATAATGAATGAATTAATTATATAAATTGAGATTATCTCAAAGTCTTTGAGTTAAACTCAAAATGAAAGAAAGGTAGAATAGTAAATAGAATAATTATATATACTTTATATAAACTTCATTTGGCTTTATAAACTCTATAACTTGAGTTAAACTAAAAATTTATTAAAATCTAAAAATTTCAAGTAAATAAAAGGGTTTTAAAATAATAATTATAATATATTCAAAATTTTTACTATAAAGTTTCAGATTTAACGACCACCTTTTTAACCTAAAAATAACTAAAGAAT